TGTGTATGTATGTGTGCCACACACACATCCACACATACATACACACATACATACACACACACACATCCACACACACACACACACACACACACACACACACACATACACACACACACACACACACACACACACACACACACACACACACACACACACACACACACACACACACACACACACACACACACACACACACACACACACACACACACACACACACACACATCCACACACACACACACACACACACACACACACATGCATCCACACACACATCCACACATGCATCTACACACACATCCACACACACATCCACACACACACATCCACACACACATACACACACATATGTGTGTGTGTGTGTGTGTATGTGTGTGTGTGTGTGTGTTGTGTGTGTGTGTGTGTGTGTGTGTGTGTGTGTGTGTGTGTGCGTGTGTGAGTGCGAGCGTGTGTATGACACTGTTCATATGTGAGTGAGAGACATCGTGTACTAGCATCATCTTAGTGATGGTTTCAGTGGAAAGAATGGTGATAGCACAAACTTTTCGACGGATGACTCTTTCCTTTCAGTACGCGGTCTTCCTCTTCATCATCCTCATACTGCTGATCTCGGCTGGCATTGCTGCGGGCGCCTTCAAAGACAACGTCGAGTCGACTCTTGAAAGTTTTTTGAATAACACGTTGATACGCGAGTATGGCAAGCTGGATGACAACGACAAGCCGACGCCCATCTCTGCTGCCTGGGACCAGATGCAGTACTCGGTACGTGCTGAGGCAAAGCTGGCAAATAAATGGTCGAGTCTCGTAGTATTATACGTATGTCTTGCGTATTTGTTGCTCTGCGTGTTTTGTTGCCAGTTGTCGTAACAACCGACCCTTATACTACAGTATCGTATATAGTATATAGTATATAGGGTCTTTGCTAATAATTATGTGGTTAGTTGTAGACGTTGTATTGTGCGCTTTTCTGTAGTTGTTGTGTTGTGGGTTGTAGGTATTTCATGTCTTAAACGAAACCGGGCTGTTACGTTTTCGCGTAATTCGTCATAGTAAATCATATTTGTCTCATATATTATGTGATAGATTGTTTAGAACTGTTTTATTGTATATAATTCTGGAATATTAGGTCCTGTATTATATCACTGTCATGTTACATTGCTCAATATCATTCAACCTAGATATTACATAAATATCCTCTTAATGGGCCAGAAAGAACATGACATAACCTAACCTGACCAGAAAGAACATGACCTAAGTCGAAACTAGTTGTTAATCGCTAACGTTGCAGCTCAATGACATCGAGTGATACGCTCGTAGAACCAATATCGTAGTACCACATGTGGGCGGAGCAGTGAATCTACGTCCCGCAGAGAGACGGTTTAGGCCTCAGCTTCACGCATCACTATACAACAATATAGCGTTTCTGTTCGTGTAACTGGTTAACGTGTTGTCAGTGAATAAGTGAAGATATCGCACTGACACCATCGTGTGAATCTCGATTCTACAGTTAGAGTGTTGCGGTGTGGAATCTGGCGCAGACTATGGCAAGGGTGTGGCCGGAATGGGACCCATAAACTGGGCCAATGGTCCCATCGGGGACTGGCAGATTCCTCCAACCTGTTGTCGAATCGCGGACAATACACGGACCCTAGACGAGACAGTGTTCAACGAGCTGATAGTAAAAGGCTGCATGCAGGACGTCAACAACAATGCAGTGTCTAATTACGACAAAGTAATGATTGAATGCGTGCGTGCGTTCGTGCGTGCGTGCGTGCGTGCGTGCGTGCGTGCGTGCGTGCGTGCGTGCGTGCGTGCGTGCGTGCGTGCGTGCGTGTGTGTGTGTAAATACGCACGCATTTATGTTTATATTCATATATTCTCATCCGTCCCATTTACTAGCGTCAATGCATATTTATATAGGCAACGCATCACAGCTTGCCTGTGCCGGCTGTGTGGCAAGAGGTTATATCACATTAAATTGTGTGATTCAGCGCGCATTAACGTTCCGCGATGGAGTTAACGTGTCAAAATTCTCAATACTTTATTGTTTCATGGTTTTATTCACTGCACAGCGACATTTCATTCTACTCTATCATTATGATTACCCACCACTGCATCTGCGTTTAATCATTCTGTTTTCTTTAGGGGTGCTCAGATGCCCTCTATAAATGGATAACCGACAACGGTCTCATTGTGGCAGGAGTTAGCATTGGACTTGGTATCGTGCAGGTAAGCATTGATGCAATCTTGCAGCAACAGATGGATGCACGCGATATAAATCCTGTCGCAGTATAATAAACGATAGAACTACGGCAAGGGAGGGTGTTGGATCGGCCTAAATGTACACTAGCGCGAAAACGTGTTAATCGAAATGCGACGCGTTCCAACGCGTGATGACTCTGAATCAAACTGCGATTGGGTCTGTACAACGAGCACTGGCACTGCGTATAGCGTGCCGTGCGAGGAACATCTGAACGACATGTGTTTGTTATTATTACTATTAGTATTACAATTACAATTACAATTACTATTGTTATTATTATCATTATTATTAATATTATTATTATTATTATCGATGACCAGTCAGCATTACAACTATTCCAAGGATAAAGATAATTTGAAGCTGCCCATGGCTATTTTGTTGTTGTTGTTGTTGTTGTTGTTGTTGCTGTCGTCCTCGGCGTCCTTATATTGATTGCCTTTGTTTCGCTTCAGATATTCGGCATCATCTTTGCGTTGTGTCTATGTACGGCCATCGGCAAGGCTCAGGGAGGCGCCGTATGAAAGGTCAACGTCAGCTCTCTCTATATATATGTATAGAGAGACAGCGCCTCTCCTATTGACGCTGTTGCTCTGTAAAGTCTATTCTTTTCCAACGCGCACACGGCTCAATTATCGACGAGGGGGAACTCTCGAGCGGGGAACAGCCACGTGAGAATGTTGCTTCATCACCGCCATCATGTGCTAGACGCCGTGATATACACGTGTGAAGCGCATACATGATGTCTGCATGGTTGACTCTTAAAACTGACGGGGTGCATGCGTAATAAGTGCGAGACAGACGGATGAATATAGCGTGAACAGTTTGCAGTGAGTTATAGAGACTTTAGTTTTTATTATTGTGACTTATATTGACGAGGATTGATGTGTATAGAATGTCTGATACACGCATGCTGCTGTGCACACCGCTGTTATGCTGCAACCCGAGATGGCCCGGAAGACTTTACACCTGTTTTGAGGGCAATGGAAGCGGGCTGGCATAGCTTTTTATATAAAATTAAATCGCCTCTAAAGCGGTACGAATATCATTTACAACATCGGCGATGAGGGGTAGGAATAAGTAGGTAATGTAGTCTCGACTGTCATCGGTCAATGGATATTCGCGTACGTACCAGGTTGTATGAACAGCCTAAGTGGTGTCTCGGAGTGGCAATAAATGTTGAATGAATGAGTGATGCCAGGCTACATTTATGTATTCCAGGCCAAATATTAGCAATCATGACAAGTAAAGCAGCCCATTGTGTCGTGAAGGCATACATACTAGAACTGTCGGTGTGTCTTTGTTCGTGTCGTTCTACATAAACAAACATGTGATAATTTGCATGAAACTGGTTTGCTGACTCGGTAAACGTCACGTGACGAGCGCACGCCATATTTCAGTGCTTGCGTGAGCGCATTTATCCTACTCAGTAACGTTTAACGCGGGTTCTATATTACAATAGTAGGAACCGCTCAATTTTTATAAATATATAAGGGAAATTGACTGTGAGAGATGTCTAACATGATACATAGTGTTTGAATAACGTCACCGGACTTTATTGTATAACCTAAGATGATTTATAGCGAGATCAATCCAAAATGATTACTGACGTCAGTTTCGATAACCAGCCAGTTGTCACCTTGGTTCGTATACTGGTGCGTTATAGTTATTTTGTGTTCATCTCGTAACTAAATTATTTTATAATATGGAATGATGTGGTATACTTGTATATATATATATTTATTATATTCAGACATCTTATATACTGTATATGAAGAATAATATACCTTGTCATATATTGTGTTTATAACTCCATCGTGGTATACGAATCATTATAACATTTGTTTATCGAATTTCACATTCTGCTCACAACTTAGTGGCTTTACGCAACACGGACCTTTCATCACATCTTATCATTGACCACCTGTAGCAGCATTTCTGTGCAAAATATATTTCCCAATGAAATTTTTTTTATATATTAACGGATTTATAAATGTAACATCTCGCCATCTATTATGCAGGGTGTCCATGTTGGGTACCTATCCCTGTATTATGGGGAAGGGCACCCCATGTTTGTAAATGTACATTAATTTAAGTATCATATATCGTGCGTCATTGTTTGTTTGCAGTTCCAATAGGTACGCTATAAATATATGGTATGCTACGTGGGGTAAACCTGTGTTATGATGACAATGACGATAACGACAGAGATGATGACGATTGAACAAGTCAAGAACACTGCCAGAGGCATCGTGTAGTTTACATTAGCTTTGAGATCGACCGACGCTGTGCACGGTATGCATCTAGTTACCCTCTTTTCGTTGCAAAGAATAAACGTTTATTTGTTTCAACAGCTTTTAATAGACGATAGCAGATGGTTTGTTTGATGAATAAAATTATATTGTGGTCATTTAAAGCCAGGTTTTCGTTTAATATGTTATTGTAAAGAAATTGCATCGAGAAAGGGTATTCACGGAAAAATTCAGCATTACAGTTTTCACTTCGTAAATTTTCACATGCAAGAATCGTCAACAATAGGAAATAACTTTAGCAATATCCTGTCCTGCAATGTCAATATTTTACATTCATGCTACTATTCAGTGCTAAAACTCTCATCCCTACCCGACTCCCTTTCACACACTTTACGTTGATATGGAGATTTACGTCCCACGCGCGTCACTCTGTGGATGAATCACGAAATTACGCGCCCTCCCTAAATAATAATTTGCTCAGGCTACGGCTGCGGTTATTGAAGTGAAAGATTGGAATGAATATCTATTATGATTATATCAAATAATTATAAGTGTGTACTCTCAAAATTAACAGTAAAATTTCAACATAATTATTATACTCATTCGGTTCAGGATGGCAGTGCACGGCCGCTTTAATATGAGACACATATCGCCATCTAGCCTCTGATTTAGACTTTACTAGTGTTGAACACTGAACTATAACTATATTTCAGTGGTGTTGAATCTGTCGGGGCGAGATCTCATTATTAAAGGCTTTATTTTCATTTATGTTTCATGACAACCTACTGCGACGAATATGTGCTCTCATTTCTAAATGCATGAATTCAGCAAAATATTATTATAAAATACTTAGCAGATACAAAGCATACGCAAACACAGCTTTCGCACTATGCTACAGGGAAATTTTATACAGCCAGGCACATAATTGTGATGTCAAGCTACTACTGAGTATGTGCCCTTCAAATTAAAAGTATGATTGCAATACAATACTGTTTAAATCGTTTATTAAATGCTGAACAGATAGCCGCGTATGTGATGAGGGACACATATCGCCATCTACAGGCTGGTTTAGATTTTATTAGTGTTACGCCAGCCGAGGGCGGCATCTCATTATTGAACTATGGCACCGGGATTTACATTTTATGACAACCCACTGCGAGGAATCTGTGCTATTATTTAGACGTATAATATCAGCAAAAAGTTATTTTATTAACGGATACACAGTATGCGCGAACAAAGGCCTCCCGTAGTTAGTGGTTAATGTACATAGGAATGGCGGTATAACGTCGCTCGCCGTCCTTAAAAAAAAGAAAGCCAGAATAATTGTCTTCAACCGATCTCATACGCTCAGACGAGACAGGAGCGGGCCGACGGCACGTGTGCATGGTCAAATCCGATCTGCATAATTCACTTTGACCCGCAGCGTCACGCCCCCGGTTCCCCGCTATGCCTATATTAATGTACAGGAAGATGGCGCTCGTGCGTCGGTCACCGTTGACTGCCAGGAGAATTTTCTTTGGCCGTTATTATACGTTCAAAGTGGAGCCGGGGGGGGGGCCGACAGCACGTGTGCCTGGTAAAATCTGATCTACATGCTTCACTTCGCTCGCAGCATCGCGCCGCGATTCCCAGCTATGCTAATGTATGGGCAAATGGCGCTGCGACGTCGGTCGCCGTTGACTGCAAAGGGAATTTTCTTGTGCCGTTCTTATACGTTAAAAGTGGAGCCGAGCGAGCTGACAGCACGTATGCTTTATGAAATCCGATTTATAGTACGTATTCACTTTGCTCGCAGCATCACTCCCTGGGCACCCCCTATTCCTATATTAATGTACAGTTATAGAAGGCGCTCGTGCGACCGTCGCCGTTGACTGCCAAGAGAATTTCCTTCGGTCGTTCTTATACGTTCAAATTGGAGACGGGCGAGCTGACAGCACGTGTGCAGGGTAAAATCCGTTTTATAGTATTCACTTTGCTCGCAGCATCACGCCATGGGCACCCCCTATTCCTATATTAATGTACAGTTATAGAAGGCGCTCGTGCGTCCGTCACCGTTGACTGCCAAGAGAATGAGGCGGGCGAGCTGACAGCACGTATGCTTGGTAAAATCCGCCAACATAAACATAATTCACTTTTCTCGCAGCATCGCCCTACAATTTCCAGCTATGCTAATTTACATGAAAAAGGTGCTCCGACGTCCGTCGCCGTTGACTGCCAAGAGAATGTTCTTCGGCCATCCTTATACGTTAAAAGTGAAGCTGAGCTAGGAGCTGATGGTAGATGAAGCTTGGTAAAATTCCATCTACAAAATTCACTTTCCACAATTATCCACCTATGCTATTGTACATATAGGTGTGGCGCTCGCGTCGCTGGCCACCGTTGACAGCCAAGATAACTTTCTTCGTTTAATTTTCTGCTCACAAAATAGACAGGGGTGATCTCTCGACAGATGTGCATGGTAAAATCCGATCTAAAACGCTGTGCTCGGAGCATCTCGCCACAATACTCGCTTGAAGTTTGATACTATACTGAATATCATTGTTACGTCAGACTATTGATGGGCATGGGCATGTGTTCTCTCTAAAGTTAAAGTGTTTTTAACTCACTTCGTTATTACGTTGCTTGCGTTTGATAAATGCTCAACATGGGGGTGTCTATATTCAAGCCGGTACGGGAGATCATAATATAATATATATGTTAAATAGAATCATACATGATTTAAATTTGGGCCAGATATGGCGGCGCTTCCTCTCCTTGTTATATTTAGCTCCTTGGTCCCATAGCAGTGTCGTCCTATTGACGAAGTCGGCCTATTACAGACTCGGTCTATACGGACTCGGCCCATAATATAATATATATGTTAAATAGAATCATATATGATTTAAATTCAAATAAATACTATATAGCAATAACGTTCTGCCATATAACGTGTGGCCGCCATATCTGGCCCAAATTTAAATCATATATGATTCTATTTAACATATGTATTATATTATGATCTCCCGTATCGGCTTGAATATAGACACCCCCGCTCAACATGCAGCTACACGTGGCATGTAGGACACACATCGCCATCTACTGGCTGATTTAGGTCTTAGGTCTAACGCGTGAACTGACGTTCTACTGCATCGAATAATAAGTTTCTGTTTTACAGGTAAATTTCAACAAATTTCCATTATATTTGACAAAGGCTGAGTATGCAGGTGCACAGGTCACCAGCCTCGCTACAGGTAAATACCGTACCGCTATAGGCACCTTGTGAGGCTGGGGCCCTGGCATATATCGTTGTGACAAGAGGCAGCTGCGCCTCCTAGATGTTGAGGAAAACTAAAATAAACGACTAGTATATGTGTGTACTAATACAGACGTCCTAAGTGTCCCGGTCTGACCGGGATCCTCCCGGTATGACACGCTGCTCCCGGTGCCCCGGAATGAGTCCAGAAGCTCCCGGTCGTAACATTTTTCAGCCCTATGAAAATTTACATCAGTAAATTACTAAATTTGCCGTTGTTGTTGATGTACTTTAATTCCAGCGAACAATAAAAGGCCACAAATGTCAAGCATTAATGTGATGCAATGTGTAATATACTCGTATAATAATAAATAAATGTGAACCCATAAATAAACATGAATTTGCATTTTATTTTACATGTATACTTTATAAAAAATGGTGGTGTGCCGCGACAAACACATATCGCAGCCCGCCACAACTTTTTTCTTGTTTTTGCGCACTGCGAAAAAACGGCGATGGACCATTATCACCAGTGCTCCCTTTCTTCGATTGCTGGCTCCCTTTCTTGGATTTTCCCAACTTGGGACCTCTGACTAATACTAAAATAATACTATATACTATACTAATGTTAATAACCCTAAAATAAATTCTAAATCCGTGTATTTATCCGTGACACCCTCGCCTCGGACCTCCCCCCAGTCACACTCTGCACGTTGACTGAGAGCTGCGCTCTTTGCTCGTCTTTGCCCAACCGTGCCACGGAATTCCATAGCTATGACCCTAGGGTTCGGGAAGACAATTAAGGTGCCCATAAATAGTGGCATTGTTTCTACGCATTTAGAATTCCTAGAATTCGGGAAACACTCGCCGTGACTATTTATTTCACAGTTAGGTAATTGACTAATTGCAACAGCTAGCATCTGTGGACTAGCTAGGTTAGCCACAGCCGCATACTGTATGCGAAATGCTTGCAACGTCGGGCACAACATACATGATACGGCGAGTAAGCAAACTGGTAAATTTTGTCCTGCGTGCGCCCGCGCGTACACACACACACACACACACACACACAC